ATATATATATGTGTGTGTGTGTGTGTAATTAAGTTTTTCTTGAGTTGGTGCTTCATGTTTCTTATGTGTTCTACATAATAAATGTCAGTCAGGCTACACAAACAAATCTACAACCCTCCAAAGATGATGACACTATCTCTGCTCCAAAAAAAATAGATACTTTGGTCAAGTGAGCGAGTCTTTTGAATCTTATTATCGCATAAATAAATTGACACATATCAAGTTGGTTAAAGACGGAATTTTGATGTGTCATTACAATTTTGTTTTTGTAAGAATTTACGTCCATAAATTATCTAATTACTTGTTACTTGATTTTGTTTTTGACAGCATGTGTGATTGCATTATTCGTTACTCCATGAAAAAAGAGTATTTAGTTGATCGTCTTGCCAAGCTTAAAGAAAAATGTGATAAAGGACAGCCAAATGGTATATATACCTTGACACCATTGCATTTATTAACTTCTTTTAGCTTTTTTTTTGTGTGAAATGACTTGGATCATAATTATTCTTGCCATCTTTATTGGTCTTTTTTTTGTATTACGTTTGTTATGCTCATTTCGTTTCATAATAACCAAGATTTTGCTATTTTTAATCCATCAGGAAGTACAAGTTCTAACTCCAAAATGCAATATTTTTTAATGTATGTATTTTTTGTTTTCAGATGGATCCAAAAAGCGTAAACACAATGGTGAAGAAGGTTCAAGGGAAAAGGGTAGTAGAGACTCGATGAAAAATTAGAATGGCCAGCTAATGAAACATTTTCTTCCTAGTTTCATGTTGTTCTTGTTAAATCTAGAATTCTGATTTCAAGTCTTTTATGGTTTAGATCCAAGTTTGCGACTTTGTGACTCAGTTATAGCTATTTGTTTGTGACTTTGTAACCCTGTTGCAGCTTTTCTAAAATCTGCTCAAAATGTACCAAGATCTTGGAATACATTGCTATTTCTTGCATTTGTCTGTTCCGAGAAACGAATCTAGAGCACTTAAATCCTCGGCTGAAGATTCATGACAAACACAAACGGACAAGATTTGCCATCAGTCTCACTAAATTTCTTGTAATGCTACTTATACCAGCCAACAAGACCAAAAATTTCAACCTCTTAGGGTTAAATAAATGTAAGAAATAACATCATATATATTTTCTAAATTTGATTTTCACAATATTTTACTTTCATTTCTTCTATTGCAACATTGTAGCTTGATTTTTTCCCCTCATGGTAGCAGTGTCATCCCAAATCAATTTTCAATGATATTTCAAGGTATATTGTGTTTTATTAAGGAAAAAAAACCAAAATTGATGTTTTTTAAATGGATAGATCTTCCAAACCGCAATACCTTACTTAAAAGTACAAAAAAATAATATTACTTTTTCTAGATTCTTTAGTTTAAATTAATGAAAGACAAAATTGCAAGAATGGTCCATGTGGTATGTCAAAACTAGCAAGTTTGATCCAAAATGGGTTTGCCTTGCAAGGATGGTCCAATAGTTTTGTTTTGTTGCGAGTTTGGTCCAAAAATTTAAAACTTTTTATAATGACGAATTTGCCCGTGGTATTTTCCCATTTTCCTTTTTTTTATTACAGAAATAAAAAAACTCTCTCTCTCTCTCTCTCTCTCGCACTCTCTCTCTGCCCTTGTATGTTCTTAACAAATCAAGACTCAACCTCGATTTCATGAACTTAATAACGAACTTCAAGAACTCAAGAACGATCTTCAAGCTGTAAACCTAGATGAAATTGACTTTTAAGATCGGAGTAGATGTGAAATCTTTCAAGATCGAACTCTGTGTGTGTAACTCTTTTTATCCCTCTGATGAACATTTTTCAGTGAGTGTAGAACACAACACACATATAAACACACAATGGGTGTTCTTCGTTCTTGATTTTGGATCTGAAATAAAACCCAAATCCAAAAGTCAAAGGTGTGTATGCTCTTGGTTCCAAATCTGAAACGAAGATGAAGAAGGGTAGATTTGAAACAAAAACCACACACAAAACCCTACCTGAAACGAAAACCCACCATCGATTCGAACGAAAGGTAGATCGACGGGAGCTCCGATGCGGCTGGGAAATCGCGATGAGGTGGAAGGGGGTCCGTCGAGACCGATGACCCTCTGTGGGTTTACTCTTCGTCTTCGCTGATTAGGAGAGGGTAGAAGGAACACGAATGGAAGTAGTCAAAATGGTGGTTTGGTGGTCAAACTGACCGCGAGAAGGTAGTCGATCTCCGGCTGGGAAACGACTGGATCGAAGGGAGAAGGAAGAAGAACGGAAGTAGAACAGAGGTGGTTCGGTGGGGGTTTGGTCCATCGCCAAAATGAAGGAAGAAAAAGAAGGCAACTTATGTTGTCGGACGACTGTTACAGTGAGGGGGCTGCTCCGGTGGCCTCCTTGTCTGTTCTTCTTCTGTTCCATTGGCAAAACACGGAGGAGAAGGGGAAAGAAACTACGAAGTAGCAGCTGAGGGAAGCGGCGATCCTCAGGGGGTGCTTGGTTGTTTCCGATCGACAACAAGAAGGGGTGGAGAAGGGCTGTCGGTGCACCTTTTTGTCACCGGTGGTGTATAGAGAGAGAGAGAGAGAGAGGGAGAGAGAGTATTTTATTTTTGTTTTATTTTCAATAGGTTTTCAATTGCTGGTAATAAAATAAAAACAAAAAATTAAATAATAAGGGGTAAAATCGTCTTTACAAAAAAGTTCAAACCAAATAGGACCAAACTCGCAACAAAATAAAACTATTAGACCATTCTTGCGAGCCAAACCCATTTTGGACCAAACTTGCTAGTTTTGACATACCACAGGGACCATTCTTGCAATTTTGTCTTAATGAAAGCTTTTGATCCTTCTTTTTTTTCATGATTTTCTTAAAATTATTTTTATTATTAATTACTAAATTGGGTCCCGCCTCACCACCATCCCTTTTAAAACACTTGCATTTTAGATAGGTACCAATAATTTGAAACAAATATAAAATGAATGAAATAACTAGAAATAGTTTGGGCTGTCTTTGAAATAAATAAGCTTACCGAAATCTTAATATATTTTCTTTTGTGGATCAAAATAGTAATACAGGCCCGAAAAAAGAGTACATGGCAAATTGATGGCCAAATCATAAAAAGAACTAGGAAATGAGGGGTCAAATGCGTCAAATGATGAAACTTGTAATCATAAACCCACCGCCTCCTCCTTTCCTTTAATTTGGAGATCTCAAGGCTTGAGACGTATTTCAGAGGAGAGCCAAGAACTTAGGTGATTTTTGGTGAAGCATTAGGGTTTTAAATCATAATCTTAACGATTGGAAGCAAGCTAACCCTAATAAACTTATTGTATCCATGATTCTTCTTGGAGTTGAGAAACGTTAGTAATTTTGACTTCCATGGTCGTCATACATCTCACCTTATTTAAAACCCTGACAAAAATAATATGATATCTATCTAGTTATTCATATACATGCTTGTCATTTACATGCAAATAATATATATATATATATATATATATATATATAGAGAGAGAGAGAGAGAGGGGTTCAACATAAAACCAAAATAAAACATAAAATCATAGAATCACCTAATCAATCATTAAATCAAATTAACTAGTATCCAAAAATACAAAAACTTTAGGGGTTGTTTGATAGTAAATGATGATTGAGTTAGTTTCTAACTGAAACTTGTTGTTTGATTTTGCATCTGACCGACTGTACACAATGATTATATTATCTTCATACAACATTATTTATAATAATTCCTTTATGATTTACCATTTAATTTATAACATTACATTTTTTACAGAGAACTTCAACCAACAAACAATAAAACTTTAATCAACAAACACATGAAACTCAATTGTTTTATCGATCAAAATCAACAACACAAAAAAAAATCAAACAACTCACACAACCCTAGTATCAACGATCAATCTTTGTCACTAGTAACCACCCCTCTTGTTGTCAATCCATTTGGCACTAGCCCCATAAAATCTAAAGGATATCCAAATATCAACCTTGTTTTTGGTAGGTTGTAATGTAAGAATGAGGTTGTATGGTTCAAACTCAACGGTGGAAGCCAAGAAGAATGTAATATGCCTTGAATTTATTGAAAGAAGAGTTAAGCCAACAACATAATCAAATAAAAAAGATAAAAAAAAAACTCAAAATAATGAATTAAATCAATCAAAAAACAGAAGACTAATGAACCACTGCTTATTTTTTTTTTCCAAAGTACGATTCTCACATCCATCTTCATTTGCATGTGCCATTATTTCTAAATGAAATACCTCTTTCAAACCTATTTTATGTAAGGGAAATTAGGCTCAATCTCATTCCTGTAAGTCCAACCCTTTTTTGACCTCCTTTTTCCAGAATTTGTCATGATTAGACAAATATCAAGAAGAAATTTGGGGTTTCAAACCAAAATGGAAAACCAACAGATTATGCCAAGATTTGTTTTTACAACTAATCAATCAAATGTGAAACAACTGAAACCAGATAACAAAATCAATTGGAAGCAAATCAGATAACAAAATCGTTTGAAAATTGTGGAGAATTAAAAAAAAACAATTGCAATCTGTAAAGGCTGAGAAAGAAGTTGACTTATCGGACTTGAGAAAGATAAAAAAGACGACAGGGGGTTGTGGAGGTTGTGTTCTTCCTTGTATCTTTGTTCCTATGTGCGTTGTGATGGGTAGGGATGAAGGAGAAGGAGGTTTCGGTGGCTATGGAGAAACATGACAACGACTGTGGGGAAGGAGGACTGGGTGTCGTTGATGGCAAAGGGCAAGGAAAGCAACTCCCCATTTGACTATTTGGATGTTTTGTGTAGAGTTTTGAACTTCACTTGTGAATTTTGATTAAGTTTGTTGTCATAGAATGAACATAGTGCATGGTATCAAGTTAGGGTTACAAGTATTATCATAGATGATGTTTGCATGATTACAGAATTTCCTGGCTAAAAATGCCAGTTGTGACAACATCAAGTACATTGTCTTAGGTTACATGTTCCCAAAATATAAATTGTACGATGATTTGACATTACACAAAATAAATTTCCTACACTTGAAAGTTCCCCTGATTGGTCTGGTCAAAATTGAGGCATATCAAACACATGGATTAGACCGCGTCAGTCATTTTTGTTTGACTGGACTCAGTCAGTGTCACACCCCCGAACCAGACGGTGGAATCGTCTGGGGGTTCGTGTGACTATCAATTGAATTATCATCATAATGAATACACATGAAACACAACACAATCATCACCAAACATTACACAGTACAACTGGTATTATTCACATCAAGTACATTGTCTTAGGTTACATGTTCCCAAAATATAAATTGTACGATGATTTGACATTACACAAAATAAATTTCCTACACTTGAAAGTTCCCCTGCTTAACTGTTACCTGAGAATACAAGTTATTTTGAAAACGGTCAACATATATAATGTTGGTGAGTTCATAAGCATGTTTGATTTAAAAGCTTTGTATCGATTGTATAACCCGGAAAATCCGATATTTTCTGTAAATTTTGTCTAAGAAATGATGTGATGATCAAGTATAAATGTATGAGCGATTTCCATTTCAAAATATGCATAATAAATGAACCCCAAAAGTTTTCCTTGTTTTGTATTTGATGTAAGTACGAATGATAGTATTTTCCCAGAAAAATCCGATATTTCCCGATTTATAGCAGTATTGTAGTACTTGCATTATCGTATGAATTGTTTTGTATTAACACGATGTAAAAATTTTGATTCCCATGAATGTTTAGATGGTAATGGATCTCTATGTGAGTCGTTATAACCATGCATGATAGTGACTA